GTTTTGACCTAGTCATTGGAAAACTTGCCTAAGTTAAGGTTCAAAAAAATTATGGGGTCATTGCTGTGCTAAGCCATTGAGTAGCTGTGTTTTCCCCTTTCTTTAAAAGATGTAATAAAACATGCTAATCTGTTATTTTTTTTTCCATTGTACAGTATCAGTTTCCTGTTTCTTCTGTAAAAACTTACTACAAAGTTAGTGGCTTCAAACAACGCAAATTTATTATCTCCTAGTTCTGCAGGTTGGAAGTCCTGGAAGTTAGGTGTCTGCAGGGCTGCATTCTTCCTGTGGTCTCCAGGAGAGAATTTGTTTCCTTGCCTTTTAAACTAACTTCTAAAGGTCCTCTTCGCTTCTAGGATTGTGGCCCTTTCCTCTATCTTCAGTTCAGCAGGTAGCATTTTCAAATCTATGTCCCTGTCTTCCTCCCTCCCCTGCCATGGTCAGAATGTTTATTATATCCCTCCTAAATTGGTTCATTGAAACCTAATCCCCAATATAATGGTATTTGGAGGTAGGAGCCCCCTGGGAGTGACTGAGTCATGAGAGTGGAGTGAATGAGATTAGTGCTCTTATCAAAGGGGCTCCAGAGAGGTCCCTTGACCCTTCCTGGGGAGGAAGGAGTTTCTCAGTTTCTCACCAGACACCAAATCTGTTTATACTTTGATTTTGGACTTCCAGCTTCCAAAACTGTGGAAAATAAATTCCTGTTGCTTGTAAAGCACCCAGTCATTTGGTATTTTGTTATAGCAGCCCAGATAGACTAACACATTCTTTCTCTCACTACTTCTACTGTAATATTTCCTTAACCGTGACTTTACTTGACTCTTGTGCCTCCTTCTTATAAGGTCCCTCTTGATCGCATTAGAAAATCCAGGATCATCTCCACATTTTAAGATCCTTAACTTAATCACATCTGCAAAGTCCCTTTTGCCATAAAAGTTACCATATTCACATGTTCTGGGGATTAGGCCATGGATACTCTGGGGAGCCATTATGATGCCCATGACATGCACATATGTACTGCAACATTAGCATTTATGCATTCATTCATTTGTCATATGAATGTATATATACATTTTCATATAGTATGCATAAATTTAAAGCTCAATAATCCAAAATTTTATTTTCTGATAATTATTAATATTTTATTCTGTGATTTTAGTGAAAAAATTTTGTCATATAAAAAAATGTTAAAAATAATCAATCCTACTGTAAAATATTCTAGGTCTATGTTCTTAGTAAATAGTCTGCTATTTCTCTTAAATAAATCTTATATCTCTCTTAAATAAAATACATATTCACAGTAACCATTTGTAGCTCATTCTTTAAGTTAACAAGTCAAATACTATATTCAGAAGCCACTTACCTGAAAAAGTTGCAAAAACTTTTGCATTCATAAAACATATTTTAAATGTAAGATTGAGAAGGTCCTTTAGGAAAGTGTTGTGGATTTTGTCAGCACTGATACGGTAAAAACGTCTAATGACCATTTTGGTAGAAATCAATTTTTCTTTTGTGATTTATTCTTTTAGAAACAGAGGTCCAAATATCTTCCTGACTTTCTACAGTAACGGAACATACAAGATACATTTGTTTGAAGCAAAATTCCCAATGTCCTGTGGAGGCACTGTTTTTTTCTCCCTTTTCCAAAGAACGAAGATTAAAGAACAAAGAACGAGTGGCTGACATAAAACTTACCCATGGGGGTGCCCACGCCATAACCCTTGGAGTCTATGAGGCCGCCAATCTGTGTCAGGTTACAGTTCCGCTGGGTGACGAACTCGATGGTTGTTGACTCCATTAGGAAAGCGTAATCAGAGGTGAGGACTCTCTGGATTCCTTCTTCATTACTTTTGACGAGCACAGACTGCCTCCTGCTGCTCATAAAGGCCCACATTTTGTCATAGGTGGAGATTTTTGATTTCTGGGGAAAAACAAAAAACATAAGGAAAATAGTCCTTACATTCCATGTGATCCTACAATATTTAGGTGAAATTGACTACATTCAGTTTGTTCATACTTTATAGTTGTATTATTAATAACAGAGATACTAAATGAAAAAAATCAAAATCTATATGAAAAGTTTTTCAGAGAAATCCCTCATCGGATTTCCAGGTAGGTAGCAGATTTATTTAGCAAGCATATAAAAAAAAGTCCTGATGTTCAAAAGTTCACAAGTAGTAGATCAGAGAAGGCAGTAAAACAGAGAAAATAAACAAGATTAATCAGGAGGGACCTTTATGTTTGTATCTCACACGAGTATCTCACGTGTACCATTTTATCTTTCAACATTACTATAACATCAAAGTTGGAAGATACAGACACTGGACACCGACTGGCACTATAAAAATTTTAAGTGGTTCCCCACCTCCACTTTGGTTGACTATAAGACAGATGTTACATTATCCCCCAAGGACACATACAGATACAGAGAGGAATTTGTTACAAATAAGGATGACTACACTTCAGCTGAGACACAATCTGGATACCACAGAACTTCTTTTAACCTGCCTCAGTTCAACAAGAAATCAATCATTCAGGTCTACTAACTAACTAACGATTCTTGGACCAAGAAAATAGAAGAGTATTTACATCCAACTGTAATTTCTCAGTAGGGCTTCGGTAGGATTTATTGCTAGAGGAGAGAAACAGGTTTTGTTCAGAGGCACTGGTAAAACATTAACCTGGAAAAGGTTAGCATCTGCTTCTGGAAAGCTCATCTTTGAAACTTTTACCTTAGTTTAATTCTTATACAAGTTCAAAAAAAAATACTGAAACTATAAACACAAGAAGGATATTCACCATACTGGTTGTACTGTCATAAAAATTCAAAACTATTTTCAAATAAATAGATTTGCAATTTTCTACAGCTTAAGTGTGCATCTAGTCCTATATATGCCAGGATATAAATGCAGTATTACTCCTTCCACTAAAAGGCAGGTACACAGTAATATTTAGAAAAATTCTGGCACTATTTCAACGATAAAATGGGAAGAGAAACCTTAAATTTACTTGGAAAAATACCTAAGGATATAATGAGTGCTTTATACAAACAAGTATAGCTTTAGGGCTAAGAAAGGATAGAAATGCAAACTGCTACACCAGTGAAACACTAAACCATGCTAAAAGGCCAGTGGCTCAAAGTCTGGAAAGAAGCAGCGAGAGCCCCCAGGGTAAAATGGATAGGATTACAAGCTGGGGCAGTTACGGTGGCAATTCAATTGTTTTCAAGTGAAATAACCAAACGTTGGGAGTAGAAACAGGAAAATAAAGAAGGACTATTTAAGGCTATGATGCAATTCTTACTGGAGTAATTAAGATCAATTGTGAGATTTTGCAAAGATGCATTAGTAATTATCCAAAATTAGTAACCTAATGAGAGTAGCCAGAACAAGTACACTTCCTTTCAAAGGTAAAGAATTTTTCTTCTAATATTTTGGATTTGGTGAGGACTAAATACAAAATAAAACCAAAATTAAAGCTCACCTGCAGATTAAAGAGACTTTATGTAAAAAATAAAAGTAAATAAAATTGGACACAGTTTTTGATTTAGTGAATCTGTGACTGATAATAAACACAATCTCATAAATGTAATACTAAAACCTTATGTAATCAAAACTGCGCATTATTACTTGACAATTTAAAATGTAACATCTTTGATGGAGAGTGATAGTGTAATAGCATAACAAGGGTATACTCATTGAGGCCCAAATCAAGCAGAGATAGCAAAGTGTACAAGAAGTTATTTTCACTTGCATTGATCATAAATTACCTAAATTCTATTTTGCTTTAGTTATTGGAATACTAGCAATCAATATATTTTAGTGCTTTAGTTATATGATTTTGAATTCATGATAATATGTTCCATCCATTGAAAAGTGTTTATTTAAATAAAAACTTGAGGACTAGCAATTTTGTTCCAAACAGGGAGAACATAATGTTTACGATGGCACTAATCCTTTAAACAGTATAATTACGTCTTTCTATTTTTTAACATGAAAAGTAAAAATTTTAGTTTACAGTTTAAAAGAAGAGAATTAGTTTCTTAACAGTACATGAATATATCAATTATTAATATTTTGCTGTGGTTGATGCAGCAAACACATCAACTTTTTTTTTTAAAAAAACAACTAGAAACCAACAAATATTTCTAATGTCTTTACAAATATATAGTTTAATTTTAGATTAATGTGAAATGCAGTATTATTTTACATTTGAAATGTCTAATCTATAATACTAATTTTCAATTGACAAAATGAGGATTTTAGAAAATATATTTTTATATAAAATTCTTGGAACACCTTTTAGACTTTTTCTGTGAACACTTCTTAGAAGGTATTATTTATACTCATTCTGAAACTAATCATTTCCTATTCTCCATTGTTATTTAAGAATCTCTTATTGATATACTTCTGATTTCAGGAATCTATTGTCTATGATTTGTATACAGCTTCACTCATCTTTCTTGTCTGCAGAAAATATAAGTATTTCTACTATTCTTATATTGTATAACTAGGTTTTGATAAATAGTTACTAAATTGTTTTGTTTCCCAAAATAAAGAGAAACAAATAGAATATTTTAAATATTATAAGTAAAATAATTCCAAATAAGAAATATTTTAATTTAGAAATATTGACCCACTGCTGGTCACACACATTCTATATGGCTTGCTTGCTTGTTTTGCTGTTATTCTTTGGCACCTGTTTCCAACTGGATACAGTCATCTCTCAATTAGGGCTGTAAAACATAACTCTGTAGAAAAGATATGGGAGATAAGGTAGACTCCTTATGTGTGTGTGTGTGTGATATGTGATGCCATTCAACTCTTAACCTATTTCTACAGAAAGCGGAAAAGGAGAACTGCTCTGTAGCAGCTCCTGGCAATTTTATTACTTTTGTAACTTTCAGTAGTAAAGTGACTATATACCTTTTTAAAACCAAAAGGTCGGAACAACATGAATTTTACTGAAACTCTTCAATTTAAAGCAGCTAAGATGGCTTATAAAGTATTTGAAGAAAGTATCTGAACAAACTTAGGCTGAATATGAAGCTTAGGCTGCTGTTTTCTGTACAAATCTGGCCACTCATAAATAGTTGACTACCGATACTTAGCTCTATAGATAAATTCTGAATACTGTAGGCCTGAGTCAAAAGTAATGATCACTAATTCTATATCTCTTATTAATGGAACATATGTCCTTCTGCAAGCCACTTATCTCTTTTGATTTCAGTTTACGTAACAGTCAAATACCTTTGCCAACCTCACAGGGTTTTTGTGAGGCTCAAAATAAGATACTACATGTAAACACGTTATTCAGTAGTAAGATATTTTTGTAATTCTAATGAAAAAAAAATAGCATACTACTACCAAATGCTTGTGTGTTATTTTTCTTAAAAAATACCAAGTACTTTGGCCAAGACGGCAGGTTGAATATCATCTTTGAGTACATGCTGTCTCCTATGGCATGAAACCATGAGGCAACAGAGAATTGTACAAGGTGCAACAGAAACAAAATTTTCTAAGCTGGAAATCTGATAGATGAATTGTAACTGAGCTAACCAACCTTTAGAAATTCCTTGTCCCCTGCAAAAGTTTTTGAGGTTGGTATTTTCATATCCCTCTCAAAGCCAGAGTGATCAAACGCCTAACAAAAGTAGAATTTATTGAAAGAATGTCTTTAAGACAACTATCTCTGAGCAGTTTGGTGACTGCTTCATCAAACTAAGGACTAGAAGTTTTATTCTCTGGGGAGCAAACAGGAGCACACTGTACACAGTTGAGTTGGGGGTGCCCATATTGAAACCAGAAGGAACAAGTTGGATTCTACAACCAGTATTGAGACCAGTCAGCCTTGTGACTGTCTTGGTTCTTTGAATTCCTCCAGTAAAGATGATGGGAGATTTTTTTTAAGCAAAAATGAACTGTTCCAGAGAGATAATGATAAATAATAATTAATGATAATAATAATAATAATAGCAGTTAACATATAAAGCTTAGCATGTGCCAGACATTCTAAGTTATTTATAAATATTAAATCATTTAAGTTTTACAAGATTTCTATTAGGTGGTAGATATTTGTGTCTGCATTCTACAAATGAGAAAACCAAAACACGAAGCGGTTGATAATTTGCTTAAATTCATGTGGCTACTTCCTAAAACCAGTTATCAAACATGGGCAGATTAGCTACAAAGTTCACATTCTTAATTACTGCACTATATCAACTGTGTCTAAAGATACATATTATGGTTTTCCAACAAAACAACCCACTACATCACCCTAAAGTGAAGCTCATATTTTTTCATCCTTAATTAAGCACCCAGAGCTTGCAGTGAGCCTCTAACAGAAAATATAAAGACAAAATAAACAAACTACAAAGGCATAAATGTCCTCAGAGAGGTTAAAGTTACCACATAAATGCAAAGAAAAATATTCAAATGGACTCTGTTGAAAGAAAACACATTCAGAGGACAAATACATTTTTAAAAATCTGACATCAAAATTAGAAACCTCAAGTGAAATGTTAGAAAATACAGTTAAGGCAATCTCCAGAAAAGGAGAACAAAAAGTTAAAAAGACAGGAGGAAAGAATCCTGAGGAAGTATCATCAACTGATGTCTAAAGAATGAGTTCATGCCAACTACCTAATGAAAAACCAAGAACTTTCTAGACAGACAGGAAAAAAGCCAGTTAAGAGACACTATCTTGGACATGCTTTTGATGGATTGGGATATTGTAGGAAATACTCTGGGGCACATAGAGTCAAGCAACATGGTGCTAGAGAAACAGAAATAGATCAAGAATGACCAAGATGGCTTTACCATTTCCTTTGGCTTTCTAATCTTTAGATGGCTTCTTGCTTCCTCTAGACCCCTGACCTCACTCTTACCCTGGCCTTTCCAGCATTCAGATGGTCTAACTACT